GGCAGAGATAGTGTACAGGCCAAGGGGGCTGAAGAAGTGGGAGGGCTTTGGCTGATCAACTTTGTATGCTGTTTCTGGGAATGACTAATAACTGAAGCTATGGATGCAAGGAAAGCAGTGCACCTGTAGCCCTAGCCTATGAGCTGTACTGTTCCAGGCATGGATTCTGCAGTTTTGCATGCTCTTCCTGAGCCCAGAAAGCCTTTGCTTTTGTGTTATCAGCTTGAGCTGGATATGTTCTCAGCAAAGCAGGATGTGGGTCTCTGCAGCCTGGCACTGCCCAGACCTGCATGTACCTTCTGCAAGGTTTAACAAAGGCCTCTTTGCTTTGCTGTTTCTCAGATGCAGTGGGATTACCTGAATGGGAGGATACTGTTAAGCCATAGAAAAGAAATGGAGGTGCAGGTTGGCATTTTGGCAATGCTCCAGCACTGGGCCCAAACAGAGCAGCAGAACTCTGTTCCCTCCAGGTATGTCTGTCTGATGGTGGGTCTCTATCTCTAATGGCTGTTGGCACCACGGGGGTAGGTGCCTGAAAAGTACTCTCTGGATAATTAAGAATGGACAGTTCTGGATAATGTAAGCTACTAATTACTGTCACTTAGTGATTGACTCCTGCCTGTAATCAAGAAAGTTTACCTCCTGTTCACACTCTTAATGCTGACTGTCTCTGATCCACATTTCCTTTTGAGACTCCTCCTGAGCTGAGGGTCATGAGGGTGCCATGGATGTTTCTTTTGACTGCCATGTGTATGTAATACCAAAAATGAAGTGCATGAGCTTATAGTTGGGATGAATGCTCCTTTGTTCTTTCTCACAAGTGCAAGGATTTTCAACCCTGGGCACCTGAAATCTGTAGTGAGATGCCTAAGGGGAATTAAAATGTCCCTGGGTTCTGGAAAGCTTCTGCCCTGCAGCCGAGCTGTATTTTCACACTTCTTCCTTCCTTTAGACTTATGCACTTTGACTCAGAGTGGAGGTAATGTCTCCATCAGATCACCTTACACTACCAGCAGCAGGGGTTAATGACATAACCCTGCTGGGCATGGGGAACTGCTCTCTGTAGTGCTTTGGAGGCACAAGAGCAAGACAAGTTAGAGTAAGGTGGTTTTCAGCTGAGACTGCCTGTGAAAGATACACCCTGTGGCTTTACTTCCACGCTGCAGTCCTTGCTTGAAGAGCTCCTGTTGTCTCCAGAAAGGAGGGATTTCTCCCGGTGCACTAGTCAGTGGTGCACAGCCACCTTCTCTGTGGAGAATGGTGGTATCACTGTCCCTGATGTTTCCTTCCATGTTATCCAATTCAGATACAACCTGTCATGCTCTTCGCCTCTCCCTCCACCCTTGCCCACAGCCATGCAGTTGCAAATTGTTGCCAGATCCCCTCCTTCCTCTTAATCCTTCTGGTTGATCTTTCGATTTTAGCTGGGCAGGGGGTGAATTAGTATCTACTTGTTGGCACAGGGACGAGCTGAAGGAGTACACACCAAAGACCCTGCAGTCCTCCATCACTCCCCAGGCTCTGCAGAACCAAGTTGGCATGCTGATGAGAACCAGGCAGCCCCTCCAGCCAGAAGATGCAAAAATCCAGTTCATAGGTGAGGAGACATCCAGATCTGCTTGAGTCGTCTATCCTCAGCATGATGGAAGCTGCTCTGAATGTACTTTTGGGACAGTTCATGAGATTGGCAAGGATCCTTGGAACGGGCCATGACATATAACTCCCTGGCAGCCTCCCCCTGCAGACTGGCACTTGTTCCCAAACATGGTGATCATGGTAGAAGTCCCACCTCTTTTGCAGAAGTCTGCAGTAGATGTTCAGAGCTCTGTACAAGTTGTGTTCTAATTGATATTCTGTCTGCACGTCTCTTTTCTGGTCAGAAAAGAACAGGACATCTATTCAGGTTGCTGAAATTGAGTATCAGAAGCCTGGGAGGGAGGGAGAAGTTGTCAATCTTAATTTTTAATGTAGAAATCTTGGGAACTCCTGCAGCTTTTCAACACCTTCAGTTGGTGCAGTAGATTGCTGACTGGAAGCTGCTGCCTGAAAGCCGCCTTTTGCCTTCTTACAGAGCATGTGATGAAATTGCCTTTCTTTGGCTACAACACCTACTTTGTTGAGAGAGTCAGCGATGACACAATCCCTGTGCCCTGTTTCTTTGGTGTGAATAAAGAAGAGATCATTGTGGTGGATGGTACTACCCAGGTATGCCAGACAATTCCTCCCTAGAGTTCAGAGCCCCGATGTCTGTCAGGTACTAAGTTTGACTTTTACAGGAACTTGTGCAGGAAGAGACTGTATTTACCTGCATCACAGCCACTCTAAAAACAGTCCTAGCCCAAAGCAAGTGTCAAGAGGGGTAGGACAGTTAGTACTGCCAAGTGTTCTTTTGTAAGTCCAGGGATCATGCTAACAAGCATGGTCCACAGTAAAACTAAGTGTAGGTCACATTCCTGTTTGTCCCAGTCTTGCAGGAGTTCTAGGGACACACTGGCAGCAGGAGCTTGCCCTGTATTCTGTACACACTGCCCTGTGACCCAGTCCTTGTCTCAGCTTTCAATAGTCTCTTGAGGTGAATCCTCCTTGGTGAGAATCAGATGGTTTTATTTGTGAGGACTGCACCAGAGAGTGTTTTGCAGCTTTTCTCTTTACGCAGGCAGTCTCCTGTGTCATTCCATTGAAAGAGCTGCAGAAGATGCGAACCCTGCGGCCTGTCTCTGATGGTGGGCTTCCCGGCATAGAACTGAACTATGGCTCGGCTGCCAGCCCCAAGACTATGTGGCTTGAACTGTCACAGGTGAGCTCAGCCGGGACCTACAGCTTCCTCCTGGAAATTCAGAAATTGCCCTCCACTGTCCAGCTAAGAGACAGAGCTACTGCTCTCTTCTGTCCTAGAGGTGGATGGGGACACTACATTTCCTAGGCCCCGAAGTGCAGCTTTGTCCCAGCATGTACCTCATATTTAATTATGGAAAGTGATTTATGGGGATATTTAATTACAAGAAGCAGACATTTCTGGGGCAGAGAATGACTGATACTGATTTGTGTTTTGACAGGCTAAAGAAATGTATCACATGATTGTTGTCATCCTGGATAAAACAGAGTTGCACCCCTAAAGCCTAAGAGGAGGAAAACGACCAAGCAAAACAGCACTGTCTTCCTTTCTCTGAGCTTGTTCAGTGCTCTGTGCCCTGTATTCTGGAGAGGACTCTTCCAAAAGACACCCATGACCTCAGACAGCTGCTTTCTAAGAATGCCACCACAGTGTTTTTTGGTGGACTGGACCATAATATCACCCCTTGTGACCTGTCCTTCAGTCCTCAAGTACTCTTTCCTTGAAGCAATGTGCGCACTGGCTAAACAAACCACAAGACACCCTTTCCGCACCACTGCTTTTTCATAACCTGTTCCAACACAGAGTGGCTAAACAGATGCAAGCTATTGCCTTCAAGCTATGCAGTGTGGGACTGTTCTTTTCTTTTCCAAATTAACAAACATGAGTAAAGACTGATGCTTGCTAGGGATCTGTGTATCGCAACACACCATTGAGGCTATGAAATGACTGCACTGGCTGCTGGTGTTTTCTGTAGGCCCGCTTTTTTCTCTGTACTGACATGCATGAGGCCCTGAAGCAGGAGCTTGTAGAAAGCATCTTAACTGCAAAGCAGATCAGTGTTAATATACAAATAGCACATATGCTGGGGCACAGATTGAGCTGCAATGGTAAGAAAGTTTATTGTTAATTATTTTCTTACTGACATAATTATATGCACATGCTTCTCTCTACTATAAAGTTGTCAGTCATGTCCATGCAGCTGTCATACTTAAATGATGGCTCCGTGCCCATGGGGAAAGCATGTTCAAATGGAACTTGCACTACAGTGGAGGAACATGTTCTGCATTGTACAAAAATGCTTAATTTATTTTTATTGCTACAGCTACCCTACTTGAAAAGTACCTGCACTTTAGAAGACTAATAAAATAATCACATAGAGGTATTTTGAAGCTATGACATGGCAGATACTGGTTTACATCTAACATGGGAAGATTGATCTGTAGGTAACTGGCAAAACTTGAGGAAAATGTTGTCGCTGTTGGCTGGGAATGGGATAGATCTGAGGGTGCTCAATGCAAGCCATGATGCACAGCTAGCTTCTTGCTGGTGAGCTGATGCCAGCAGTAGCTGCAGCATCTTCCCTATCAGGAACTTCCCTTCAAGTGCTGCTCGCTGTGGCCTGTGAGGTCTTAGCTGAGGCATGTTCCACCCTCCTCCTTCCACAGTGCTACTGCAAAGCTAGGTAAAGCTCTGCAGCAACAAGAAAGAAAGGAATAGAGAAGAGCTCTGAAGCGTTTACTTACGCTTACCCTTATTCCCCTTCTTTTTCTCTGAGCTTTTGCTGCCTTGCATAGAAGCGCTCATCTGGTTAGAAATGCCCCACATTGTGATAAAGCGCTTTGTCACACAACCCCATGCCTTAATCAGCCCTTTCCAGAGCCCCCTGATTTAGAAGACAAACAAAGCATTTCTGAGAAGTTCGCCTAGGAAGCAGCTGAACTCTACATGCACAGAACTCTGGAGAGATGGTAACCCCACTTAAGTGGCTGAAGAAACAGGATTTTTTAATGGGAAGTTAAATAGAAGCCAGTGGGCAACAGCTGAAAAATATTTCTATTGTGTAAAAGGCTCCTTGTAAAGCCCTTTGTCCTCCAGTGAGCAGAGCAAGCTGAAGATGAAAGTGACTTTTGAGTTAAACATTTCCAGGTTCTCCTCCTGGTTCTAGCTGGAGAAGTCCTGCAGCTCTAAGGGGCTGGAGGTGTCTGCTGGCACATCTTTCCCATCCATCCCATCCTGGGCTTGCATTTATTACCTGCCTGGTCAGATAAGAAATGAGCTTTCATGTCTATGTTCAGTGATGGAGTCTTAATGTACCTTAGACCACTGTATGATTAACTGATAAGAAAAAGCTTTCAGGAAGAGTCCACAGCAGCTATAACATTGTTTTATTGTCAGTTCCGCACATACCCTTCAGTACATTTTAAAAAAATACATCTGCTGAGTACAGTGATCCAAAAGCCTGTTTGATGGCCTCTCAGGCTGCAGATTCCTCTAGCAGCACTAGTGCCTGAGGCCACCAGTCTCTATAGGCATGGAACAAAGGCAGAACCCAACAAAAACCCAACAGAAAGGACTTGTGCCAGGGCATCAGGTTATTTCAAGCCCATTGATACCCTAAGGTTCAGGCCCTTACATAAATATAGCAGCACAGGCACCACAGTGTCAATTTGAGGGCCACAGCAGTACCTTAACCAGTTGTAACAGCAGCATTGCCCTCTGTATTGCAGACTGTGGGTGAGGCACAGGGAACAAATATGGCTTTAAGGGTTAGAAGCAAATGCTGGAAAAGTGTTGGCAGCCTTGGTGCCACTACTGGAGAGGTTAATACTGAAAGAGCATCACTGCTTAAGCTAAAGGGCAGGCAGAACTAGACAAAGTTAAAAAAAAAAGTTCAGATTAAAAGAAAAAGAATCCGAGTTTCTCTACCTTCAGAAAGTAGGCATTGCCTGCATGGTAAAAACAAAACACTCCCCTCCTGCTCTTCAAGGGAAAACATTCCATCCAGGAACTCAACCATCCAGTTTGTCATTGGCAGCCCTGAGCAAAGCATGTGAACTTGTAGCATAAGGCTTCTATTGGTAACACTGAAATAAGAACTAGGAGATGGGGGAGCAAGGGAAGGAGCTGTCTAGGAAGCAAGATACCATCCCAAAGCAGAGTCCAAGCTGGAAAGTCTGAATCCTTCCCAGGCTGCACCAGGGAGTAGAGGTTGGAGACACTGCAGACCATTGAGGTAGCAGCCCCTAACCTACGCAGCAGATGCAGACTTCACACCTCTTGGCAAGAGGTACTAGAGGGCTTCAGCACCCTAGGTATTGGAGAAACTCTCCGTAAGTTCACAGAAACTGGTTTCCTGGAAATGCATGTCACTAAGGACAGAAGTGAGAAAAAATGCAGTGGGAAAAGAAAGCTCAGTTCTGCAGTTTCATGAAACCCTCCATGGCTGAGTTCTTCATAAACCTCTGGTCCCACTGCTGGAGGAAGGAAGACAGCCAACATGATGCAAGGATCAGCTCTCTGAGCTCTGCAGCTCCTGCCAGTCTGACTCACTCTCACACCTGACCCTTGTTTTGAAAAATTCCTTGATGAGTCTCTGTGCTTCCTCCTTCACTGCAAGAGAGGAAGCACCACCTTTAAGACAATTCGCAAGACATCTTCCCCCTCTAAAGACAACAATCCATTGAGAATCAAAAGAACTTCAAGATTCTCAGTGCTCTCCCCAGCTGCCAACTCACCGGTCTTGCGGGCAGGGTTCTCCTCTTCAGTCAGTAAGTGAGACAGGTGCCGAGCAAAGCCCTTAAACAGATCCTGCAGAATTGGGGAAGATAAAGAGCAGAAAGCAGGCATTGGTTACCTCACCAGCCTGTTTCCACATTTGTTTTGCCCTTAGCGCAGGCCGGCTCTAGCACAAACCATTCATAGATTTAGACTACAGGAGTGTTTCAAACCTGCAAATACACCTGTCCCTGCAGTGCTGGAGCAGCATATGCACACACATGCTGCCTTGCAGAACACATCAAGTAACCTACACCAGAACTGAACCTGATCTGTTGCCACTCCACAGGTATGAGTTTTTTTAGAACTTGCAGAGTTTATTGTGAAAACATGAACAATCATAAACAAGTGTGGAACTAACCTGATACCACTCTACATCACATACAAACCCTTTCTTGGGAGGGGTGAGCTGTCGCACACAGAGTTGCTAAAACAGCACATACCAAGATGTGAATTGGAAATGAAATGTGGTATCCAGATCATCTTCCCCGTCTTACAGCCCCAGATTGCTATGGAGATGCGGTCTCCTTCTGCTAGAGAGGGTCATGAGCTGTGCCCTACCTTGGAAGCAAATTTGCCACCCTTGTAGAATGGGGTCAAACATTTGACAACGATGTCTGCTGTTTCTTTGAGGGACATGCCTTTGGTCACTGGCTGTACGGTCTTGCTGGTTCCTTCTTTATCACACTGTGATAAGTTTGGATCAAAAGTCACCTTCTTCTTTGTTGGACCAACACTTTTGCTTTCTGGCTGGCACAGAATAGAAGATTTTGCCACTGTCCGTATCCGCTTTGTTGCAGGACTTTCCATATCCTGGAGATGGGACAGAAGAAAACCAACCCCACCAATTCCTGTGGCAGCATTATACTTCCAAGCAGCCACTACCTTCTGAGAACACAAATCTTTGCAGCATCCTGCAGGCTCTTCCTATAGTGAACACCATGCAGGAATCTATGTAACCCATTTTGCTGTGCAGATACAATAGTCTCCCAGACAAAGGGACTTTAAGAAAAACCCTTTAAAACTATCACATTTAGAATTACCCTATGCTCTTATTAGGGCAGCTAATTGCTAGACCCCATCCTATACAGGAAAACCCGACAGGAAAAGATTTCCCAGGATGTCTGCTGAGAATAAACCCCTCAGGAAGAATCAACCACTTCAGGAGTGCCACACTCCTGCTCAATTTGAAAGAGCAAGGAGAAAACGGCACTGTTCAGTAGAGATAGCTACCAGGCAGTCTCTGATGCCAGATGCAGAACCAGAGACTGAATGGCAAGGAAGGCTGTGACATGGTTTGCTCCTGAGTGGTCCTCTGCATCATTGGCCTGTGGTTGTTCCCTTGACTTGAGAAAGTGGCTTGCTAATTATAGTTAGTTACAGATCTGGAGGGGGTGGGGAGACTCATTCCAGGCAAGTCATCAGCAAGGGCACAGTCACATGTGTTGCAAAGAAGAGGAAACAAAGCAGAGTGGAGGGGAAGCTTTTCACTTCAGTCTGAGTTGCTGGCACTGGCCCAGTGGGCAGCAGGGGGACACTGGGAGTGCAACGCAACTATGGTTCTCCCCTCTGCTGCAACTGCAGCTGGGCCCTCCCCAGATAAGTAACACTATCAGGTGAAGTTCAGATCAGGAGCATCACTCCCAGAGAGAAACTCGGCACAAGATGAGCAGAAGAAATAGAGAAAATTAGCATCCAATTAAGGTCTTACCTCATCTGATCCTGGTCGCTTTCCACACTCACCTTCCCCAGCAATTAGCTCAGTTTCTGTGACATTTTCAGCAACACTAGTGGGAAAAGTGGAGAGAAGGCCAATTTTAGCCTTTCCACAATGAAGCTATTACTGCACTCACTGTCAGTGGCCGTGTTAAAGCAAGAGCCTCCCTCACCAGCCTAGAGATCTAATACAGATTCCCAGTTTCCAGGACAAGGCTGGTGGGGCTCTGAAGCTCGTTAACAGGGCAACACAGGGAGCAGAGAGGTACAGATTTTACCTGGATTTTACATCAATTTCTTCCTGAAGGAGTTCAGATTCAGCAGCCTGCTGAGTCTTAAAATCCTCCTCTCTCTCAGTCAGCATTACTTCTCTCTCTCCAAGCTCTTCATTCTCTGCCTGGGACTGTCCAGTCATATCTTCTCCACAGACATCTTTGTTTTCCTGAGGTATTGACTTCTCTTGACACATGCTTTGAGGGGAAACCTGAGGTAGTGTGCTTGCAGAACAGCCATCTTCCTTTGCTGAGCTGCAACTTTTGGCTTTAGATCCACCTTTGGGGAGGGAGAAGAATTTGGAAATATCCTGTGATTCTTTTTTGGCCGCTTCTGCGAGCATTTGCTGCTTCTTGCTAGGTTTGGACTTCTTAGTAGGGCTATCCCAAAGGGCAGCTTTTGTGTCTGGACTGGGTTGCTGTCCCTTCTTTTCAGGATGGAGTACTTCTACCCCAGCCCTCTCACACACTGCTTTGGTTGCTATTTCTTTCTTCTGGAGAACAGGGTTTCTGGTGTCCAGTTCCAGACTGCAGTTGCTGTTGTCTTGCCCATTTGGACAATCTACTTCTTTTTTGACAGGCTTTACATTGCCCTCCTCTTGGACCTTCAGCAGTTCTGAAGCTGTCTGGAACAAGCTGGATTTCTTTGGAAATCCTGCTCCCACACGCTTGGGTTTGAACTAGGGAGAAAGGAAGAAGAAGAAATTTTGGGTGTGAGAGCATTAAGGAAGCCCTGTGTGCAGAACCCTGAAAGGAGCTAAGTTTCTGTATACAATACACCAGTGTGCACAGCCGTAAGCTGGGGAAGGCTGTAAAACTGACTCATCATCATAACTATCAACTGAGACATCAGGGAAATGGATCAGGTTAAAGTCACACGCCCACAGCAAGGAAACAGACAGCATCCCTGGTTAGAGCAAGACAAGAAAAACTTATTTGACGTATGGCCTGCACATAGATTATATTCACTAACAGGAACCAGCACGACTAGCTGGTCCCACTCCAAAACCAAAAGAACAGACAGGGAAAGCAATTCCAATAGAAATATACAGTTATGGCCACACAAAGAACCTAAAATAAATTTATAAAAAAGCAGATAGACAAAGCACACCATTCCCTCCTTGTCTATCCCATCTGTACTCACTCACCGAGTAAACCTGGGATGCAGGGAGGAAGTCCTCTTCTGCTGGAGACACAGATTTTGTTTCTAAGCTGCTGTTTCCACCAGTTCCAGACCCAAAGACTGAAAACAGCTCTCCTTGTTTTGAGGCTTTGTTGATTTCTGCTACCTGAAAAGAGAACAGAAATGTTCTCTAATGGCCAGAAATATAT